TTGTGCCACTGTGTCTGAGCGACACAGTGGTAGCGGAGCTCGGTCGGTCCAGGAGAACCTAGTTAGGGAACTGGCTCTCTGATCGACAGTCACGCTGCACTCGACATGGCAGAACCAACCTCACCCGTTCCCGACCACGGCTCTTTAGATGAAGATGATGTTCTTCCCGAAGCAGGAGATTTGGATCCGTGGATGGAGGCTGCAGCCAACCGTCGGGAAGCTCCCGGCCCGGAGGCTGCAGAGTTTGAGCGGTTTCGGGAGTTCATGGTTTCTCGGCAAGGCTCCGGGGGAAGGTCATGGCGTCCCCGGCGAGAGAACGCCGACGAGGAGGACGATCAGGACCAGGCTGGCGACCGCAGCAATTCGGGTCCAGCTCCAAGCTGGGACGGAACTACGGCCTTCAAGGATTACCAGATCAGGGCCAAGCTGTGGCTGGCGACGACCCGGACGAAGCCCAAGTCGAGAGGACCGATGCTCTTAAAGAACCTATCCGGCACCCCGTTCGATGACATGAAGCACTTGGCAAAGGATAGCTTATGGATGAGCGACCCCGACAACGGCGAGAAGCTTTTGGCCATGATGGACTCCAAGGACCTGTACGGCGAGGACCAGCGAGAGGATATGATTAACACGTTGGTGAAGATCACTTATACTCTTCGCCGCGCCAAGGGTGAGTCCAACAAGGTCTTCTTTGCCCGGTGGGACAACGTGGTGCGAAAGCTCCAAGAGCATCAGGTGAAGCTCCCGGAAGAGTACCTCGGCTTCCTCCTAACGAATGCCCTGAACTTATCGAATGAAGAGCTGAAGTTGCTCCTCAACTTCTCCCAGGGCCGCCTTAAGGTTAAGGACGTCAAGGAGTGGCCTCGGGTGCACGAGACCGAGTTTGAGACCAAACAGGTTAACAAGGTTTCCGCCCAGAAGGCCAACCAGGTCCTCCACACCGAGACGGCCTTCCCGGAAGATGAGGACCCAGAGGACGAAGACGAGGAGGCCGAGAGCCTCGAGGTTCTTCTAGGTGCCCTTCAAGAACTTGACGGAGAGCATCCTGAGGAGGCCGATCACACAGCGGATGCAATTTTTGACGAGCAAGAGGCCAAGGAAGTTTTGGCAGCTATGGTGAAGGAGCATGCCAAGGGCGTGTCCAAGGGCATGGGAAAGCGGACCTTCACTGCCGTGAACCGCGCGAAGAAGACAAAGGCCCTTGCTCGAGGTTATGGAGTGGGCCGCGATGCGGGCGGCCGCTTCAAGGAAAGCCCAGCGGTCAAGGTGGGCGGCAGCTACAAGGTTAGCATCGAAGCTCTCAAGAGGAGAACTCGGTGCGGCATCTGCCGCGAAGTTGGCCACTGGCACCGAGAGTGCCCAAAGGCTGGCAACAATGGTGGTGGCAACAACAAGGAGGCTCACTACCTGGAGTCCGAAGAGGCATTGTTCCTGGACTACATCGAGTACATCGACTTCAAGAACGCCTCCGGCTCCAACTCAGCCAGCAGCTATGATCACATCGGACCGCCGCCGGGCCTCGACAGTCAGAGCCAGAGTGCAGCATACATGGTGCGCGTGCATGAGCTTAACTATGTAGATCGTCATGAGCCCATTTCAGAAGATCAATGCGCTACAGTAGATACAGGTTGCCAGAGAACCGCTATCGGAGCTGAGATATTGAATCGATTTCTGGCCAGTCATGCTCATCAGGTCGGTTGTTGCTTCAAACCAGAGGCGCTTTGCTTCAAATCTGTCAACGGCTTGACCCGTACTACTCGTACCGCGTGTTTGCCGACCAGTCTGGGGAAGAAGGGTTGTATCCTTAGACCGGCTGTTTTCGAAGAAGGTCAGAGTAGGCAAGCTCCTTTCTTGCTGTCGTTGCCCTTCTTGATCTACCGCAGAGCTACCTTACAGTTGGATCCCCAAGCCGGACTCAGTCTGCACCTCAAACGGTTCAATCATCATGTACCCCTTCATATTGGACCTTCAGGAGCCCTTCGTGTACCCCTGGACAGGTTCACCCCAAGGATGCTTCAGGAACTCAGTCAGGCAGTCGACCGCCTGAATAACGGCGGCCCAGCAGAGATTCACCATGTCCTTCCGGAAGCCGGGCCCAGCAGTAGTAACCAAATTGCCCCTGCTGCTCCTGAAGCTCCTCGTCATGATGTCGTCCGAGTCGCCCCACAAGAGAAGCCGCCCGATGCCCGAGCAGGAGGAGAAATACACCAAGGAGGAGCAAGGTTGGCGGCGCCTCACTCTCCGCCTCCTGGCGGTTCTGGCCAATGCATTGCGCCAGATGATCTTGAACCAGATGGGGGTCTCCAATCCGGTGAACATCCCCGGGCGCCAGGTCGAAGGG